ACGTATGACGTACAACAGAATAAGATTCTTCTGGAATTCATCTTCAAGAACTGTTATTGGATTTTGTTGTTTAAGCCGATTCGATGTGAAAGCAACCTTTTGACATCTATTGGTTTAGAGTTACGGGTGCACAACTACTGACTAAAATAGATTCATATCGAAATAGGACGCCCTTGGTAACGTTCATCGTCCGGTGATGTCATACGATTTCTACAACGGTAAAAAATAAATAAATGGTATGCATAAATACTTTTTAACGTTGTAAATATCGCTAGTAGAGCGTTTGCAATTTCAAGATAACAAAGGAATATATTTTTTTACATAAGAGTTGTCAATTTACACTTTAGGGAACAAATAGGTTACACAAATCCTTAGACAACACATCTACCTGATGTAATCTTAAAAATATTCATTACTAATTTTTTTCTTTATTACAAAACTTTATGGAATTATCAGAATACACGAATGTATTCACTTGAGTACAATTATATTCCAGTAGTAATTATAAACTGGCACAATTCATAATCTACCAGACCTTTGTTGACAAAATCAATAATATTTAATAGTGTTGAACAAAAAACCGTTTTGATTCATTAATCAAACCATTAGCGTGCCATATCGTCTGATTAAATAGGGCAGTGTTGTCACTGGGTTACCCCAGCGGCAAAAGCTTTAATTGGGATGACATCATACTGTCCTGTTTGTTAGTCTACAAGCGAACCACCAATAACTATAGAAATGCTAAGTCACTTGCTCAAAATATCGATTTCATTTAGTTAAACATTTTGTAGAGTAAGAATTCTATTGATAAAATATAATGTCAAATGTAATGTCGTAATGTTAAGTTCTACTAGAATAATAACGATTGTAAGTTAGCTTAATGTGGGTGAATAAGTTCGCCTAATTTTATTCAAACTTCGATATGTCGAACTAAGCAATCGAAATTCTATACGAAGCATATATTTTACTTATCGAAGGACAGGCAAAACTTCGTCAAACTCCTTTTCAATATGACTTAAGTGCTAAGTGTAAATTATGACCTACATTATTATATGATTTGCATTTGAAAGATATATTTAGATAAGCATAGTAAACATGTAATGCTTAGATACATGATGGCCGGATGTTGAAATTAGAACATTGTAGGGATCTAGTATAATTTCGATTCAAACATCAGGAACTATAAAAACGTATCATAACCCTTTAATTATGGAAATAGATCATTATTTTTGTTAAGTTTTTTTGTTTAGTTTTAACATCATCAACAATACAAAAGAATGCAAACAATAGTGTGTCGTTGATATAACATAGGGCCTAACTACTTCAACCTAACAAAAGGCTTATTTGTACCTGTGAAAACTCCCTCGGGCGGTCACACATCGGGGGTTTTTGGCAGTGTGTTGAAATCAAACTACACGATGTGCCATACTGTGCCTAAAATCGGAGGGATCATACCTCACAAAGGCAGAAGACGTATTGTTATTATTATAGAACAAATGATCGTGCTGATCACTTTACTATTTGTCTTGGGTCAGTCAAGATGAAAAGATAGTTCTGGTGTTTATTTACCACCCTATTTTCTTGTATTACTAGAAAGTAGTACGTTGTTGAAATATGTTAGATATTACAATGCTTGCATTTTAATTACGACACTTGGAGTAACGACATCCCTATATGGAAAATGTCACATTCAGCTAATAATAATTTATCAGAAACACCATATGCTTTAGATTAAGAGTACCCTAGTAAATTATTATCAAAAAGTTTAAACATTGGGTTATTTTTATTGCACTTAAATGGATCTTCTGTGTGACTTTGTATGACTCATAGGATTCTTCATGCTTCAGAAACATATGTAGCAGTACTAAATCTATTTACGATTTGTTGGTATGACATAGTATGTATGGTGGGCTAAATGACGCATACCACATAAATGTTACTACTTTTCTGTGCTCACCCAAAGGAAGCTTCTCGGAAAGTAAAATTAATGGCTTGGGAAATCCAACCGGCGTTGTGCCAGAGCACAGTAAATATGAAATAATGTAAACTTTATTAGTAACAGTTGTCAGTAAAGCGAATTTTAACTCATTAAAAAAATGTTTTTTCGTTCAAAGTTACTGCAAAATTCAAAAGCATAGATTTAGAGGGACTTTAAAACGTAAATCGACAAATTTAGGGATGTCGTTTTAAATTTGATATAATAATTATAATTTATGATAATGAAATGTAGAACAATGGACAAAACGGATGCAATGATGACATCAATTGAATAATAAATGAATTAAATTGTATTAGTAGTAGTTGAGTTGTAGACACAATTTAAAAAAAAGAGCATTCAGTCGGCATGACGCTCGTGATGAGACCTGATTAAAAAAAAGAAAAAAATAACAATACAACTATTAGGTAGGTAGTACAACAAGTGCAATTTGAATTTGATGTAATATTTAAAAAAATAGAGACTGGAAATAAGGGATGATTTATATTAGACCGCGCCGTGTCCGGGCCGGGGCGGGACCGGAGCGGAGCCCGTCCGTGCTGCATGCGTATACTACACCGAGTGTTCAACGGGTTACAATCCGCCACGGTCGCTTCAATATGGCGTAGTGATGTGAATAATTCCCAATTATTACAATTTAATAATAATGGAGTTTTCTTTAGTGGAGATGGCTGCTATTGCGATAGCTATTGATGAAGAGGAAGCAGAAGCAAGGACTAAGAAGAACCAGATTAAACGGAAATGCAGCGTGCATCCTCTTCGGAGAAGGCGTCAATTTGACGGAGAATTTAATACTCTATGTAGATACTTACCGGACAATGAAGAAAAATTCTTTGGTTATTTTTAGAATGTCCAAGGAAAACTTTGACATTTTACTAAATGATCTAAAGCCCGCCCTTACAAGACAGCAGACGAGATTCGACACCTATAGAACCTAAACAACGATTAGCAGTATGTCTCATGTAATCAGCAACCAAAATGACATGGCTTTTACACCACGTGATACAGAACAATCTATATTAGAATTAAGACAGTCCATACTTGATCAACTACGACCACAACATCACGGACAATCTAGTAACGATGCCTTTGCGGTCAGAGAAAAATTTAACAATTACTTTTCTTCACCGGCCGGACATTTTTAATAATAGATAACCTAAGAAGAATAATAAGGATAGAATAATAAGAACCTAAGGTACTGTGTCTATATCGTCAATCATTATGACTTTGTATTGTTGCAACTTTGTATCTAAGTATTTTTGATGCGTCATGTCATAAAGCTCAGGATACTTTCGGACATGTTCTATTAATTTTTCGTCGTCAATTATCCGCAAAGTCATGCAACAATGAATCTTGTTTCCGTATCACAAGGAAACTCAGCTTCGGTAAAACAAAAAGAACGTACGTGCTCCCTCACTAAACATTCGTCGCTCACTGCCCGTACGCAGCACGGGAGAGTGTTCGTATTACGACGGGACGGGAGCGGGACCGTGCAGCAACCGTCGTGTAGACGAGCGTCGTCCGGGCCCGGACGGGACACGGATTATGCACTGTGTAATATAAACTGGTTCATATAAAATGTATGTAACGTTTCAAATCCGTGCCCCGTCCGGGCCACGTACACGGCACGCCCCGGGCACGGCGCGGTCTAATATAAATCATCCCTAACTAACAGTAACGTTTACAACTGGTAAAATAAGGGTTGGTGCTGACTGGGAGATGGCACTATCGGTTTTCTAATTCTCCACATCATTTCCATTCAAATGACGTATAATTTATTATAAAATTTATATAAATAAATTAATTGCACTATTTTTTTAAAACAACAGATATGACCTGCAGAATCGAGCGGTGGCATCTAGGATTATAAATTCTAAATGCAAATTTTAGTGTTACTGAAACCGCAGACCTCGCCGCGAACAATGGTCAATTTTCTAATCACATTCGTTCGCAAACGAGATCAATATTTATTTTAGCAGTTGACGCTGATGCCATGCAGGCTTCTCATCTTCATCTTCCGAGCTTTTTCCCAAACTAGGTTGGGGTCGGTTTTTGAGTCTACTACGATGCGGCTGGACTTCTATTTTTTACATGGAACGAGTGCCATCAGAGCTCCAGAACCCAAGTAGGTACTAGGCGACATCCGACAATAGTCTAGCTACAGTAGCTGGACTGTTGCCGGACTTTTAGGGCTCCAACTACCCGTAACGATTGTCATAGATGTTCGTATGGTAACCGGGACCGGCTGTTTAACGTGCTCTCTATAGCACGGAGGGTCTCAATGTCTTAAGCGATGGTCACCCATCCGTAGACTCCTGGCTAAGATTGCTTAACTTTGAAATGTGCTAACCTACTCGGTCACTTACTCTTAATGTCATTAGTGTGCTCATACTCTTTAAACAACTTACAAGAAAAATATATTTAGACCATATCGACTGCCTCGACCATTCGACTGCCTCGGTGGTGCAGTGGTAGCGTATGTGAGTGGTAGCGTAGTAGTGTTGAGGTCTCGGGTTCGATTCCCGGGTCGGACCAAATGTTTGTATGATCTGGAACCGGTTTTCATGCGTTTTTACAGGCTTTGAAGAAGCTAAATGCTTGTATTAGGTTTCAAGTCAGTAGTAAAGCCTCTCCTCGTAAAGCATCTGAAGCCCTCCGTCTTTACTAAGCCATTCATAGCGGTGAGTTCATTAAAATCGTATATCGTGCCGTTGTGTGCCGTTCGTTATGGTACAAAAAACAAGTTAAGCAAGTTAAAAGAAATATTAGATTCGTCGAGAGATAATTGAAAATTTTCTAAAGACTTTTATTTTAGCTTATATTTAGGCCCGTTCTTATGTAGGACATATGCACATCCTATAATAGATTTTTGAAATATGAATAGCGTCTTGTCATACCTGATTTTTAGCGATAATACAATCGCTTAAAGTCACGTAAACAACAAATAACACCAAATGAATCAGAGCCGTTAAAGAATTAGTAAATACAATTTGAAAATACTTACAGTAAACTAGAGTTGTGTAGAATTTGAACAATTTCACCAACAGCCTTGAGCTTCTCTTCTGAGATCTTGAGCCAATAGTTAAACGCGGACGCCAACTTTTGTCGAATCTGCTTTCCAGGTACTTGTTGAATGTATGTGTAAGGCATCAGGATTTTCTGAAAAAAAAAAAAATCATTTTTATCATTAATTTTATGGTGGCACTGTTTTTGAGATACATAAAAATAAGGTTAAGTAGTATTTAACCTTTATCCAAAGTTACTGATGAAGATGACCACGATGGTAAAGTCCAAGATATTATTCATTGAGCAAAAGTTGTTGTAAGTCTGAACAAACGCAAATTAATTATGTTGTGAATTAACCAGAGCGCCGTCGAATTAACCAATATACTCGTAGACCAGCAGTAATCAAAAGCGAGGGAATGTAGTTTTTTTTTTCCTCTTCGTATTAATGGAATAATTCAAATAATTGGTTTTGGTAGAGAATATTTGAGAAAACATCAACATCACCTCACCGAGCTCACGGTGAAGTGGTATTTGGGAATAGAACCAACTAAAACCACACGGACAGGAACAGGCCTGAGAAAGGACTTTGTGTTGCCGTAGCTACGATAGTGATGATCTCTTCCGTTTCAATTGCATAATAATAGCAATATTCTAATATAATTAAATAAAATTTTCTATTCTATTATACAAGGCTAAAGATTTAACATTTTTTGTGGACTTTTTAAATTAATAGGGGTTAAAGTATGAAATTGCCGATGTATAGTAACTGATACCTTGAATGGACATAAAACCTTCATGGTGTGAGATTTTCGTGTGAACTTTTTTCACATGATATCTACAAGGTTCTTCTTTTAAAAACTGTGCAACATTCGATTTTCGACATTCAATTTTTTTCATTTAGCTTAGACGTGAAAGATGGATACTTCGAAAATAGTAAAATAAAAAATCCTAGTAATTTTTTAATACGAGTTCCGAGGCACGGCACGCAATATCAACGCTGCGTTTGGAGAACTCGAAACGTAATATACGCAAAAAATATAAATGCAATATAAACCTACCTAATATAACAAATATGATATACTACAGAGCACATACCTTACAGCAATAAGAGTATAAGAGTATTTAATAAGCTCCCGCTAGAAATAAGGATATTAGATGGAAAAAATTTCAAGAACGCTCTAAAAAATGGTTAATCAAGAGTGTGTTCTATAATTTGCAAGAGTATTTTCTCACAAAATAATTTGCATGCTCTTTAAATTAATTGTAATCTCCATTTTCATTTATTAGTGTATCTACTTTAAAATGGCAATGCCCGATTGGGTAGCTGTTGAAACTTTACCTACTACAAAATATCCATATATGTAACACAGTATATGTAAAGCAGAGAGAAGGAAAACTTAACACAAACCCTATACCGTCTGGCCAGCGTGGTATAGTAGGCCAAAACCTCCTTTCTAAGGAGAGGCCTATGTCCAGCAGTGGACTGTTAAAGGCTGTTGATGTGATGTTACACAGTTTTTTGCAATAAATGTCTTTGTCTTTGTAAGAGACTGCTACACACCATGCCTAATGGAAACTTCGACTTGAAGAACGAATCACGTTCAAGATACAGATGAATAACGCTGAATTGGAGATGGTGGCAGCCGATCCGAGTCAAACTATTATATAGCGGCATGGTTTAACGTTACTCTACCTACAATATTGACTCATTTGCATCAAATCCAATAAGATAAATGGGTGCCCCATGGTTTGACTGATCGGCAGAAAGAAATGCGTGTGAAACTTGTGTTGCCTTGTTGAATCGGTACAGAAATGAAGGAACATTGGATCGAATTGTGACATGTGACGAAAAGTTGGATTGTTTACGATAACCGTAAGCGAAAATGCTGGCTGCCCCAGGTCAAACGCCGCAACAGTGCCCTAAAGCAAAGCTTACCAATAAAAAGGTAAATGGTAACTGTTTGGGGGTCTCTTCATGGTGTTATTCACTATAGCTTTCTCAGATCTGGTCAGGCAATAACAGCAGATGTTTACTGTGCCGAACTTCGAACAATGATGGCGAAACTGGAAGTAAAACAGCCCCGACTCGTGAATCGATCTTCACCATTATTGCTCCATGATAACGCTAGACCTCACACTGCACGAGAAACCGTTGTATATCTACAGGAGCTACAGTTAAAAACCATACGACCTCCGTACTCGCCAGACCTTGCTCCAACGGACTACCTTTATTTCGTGATTTGGACAATTTTCTACGTAATAAAACAAATTCTTCCCAGGGGGCAGGACAAAATGTTTTCACACAGTTTGTCGAATCTAGATCCCCAGAGTTCTATTATAAAGGCATAAATGAACTTCCGTTTAGATGGCACCAATGTATAGATAAATGAGGGTAAATATTTTTATTAAACAAATATGTTAGATACGTCTTAGAAAAAAACGAGTTTTAATTTTTCAGTACAAATCTTCCCGATTTGTACTGAAAAATTAAAACTCGTTTTCATACTTTAACCCCTAATATCAGTTCGTTAAATCAAGAATTTAATTTTGTTTTAGAAGTACATATAGTAAGTACGAATGGCACATATTATACATGTAGCTCCTTACCTTAGTACACTAAATTTTGAATGAAGGAGGAGGACGGAAATGTTATGTAACATAACAATTCATTTTCGTTATTATCTACCTGTTAAGGAAATAGGTATGCTACATCATATCTTCACCTAAAGTACATACAACCTAGAAAAATGAAGAAGAATCTAGAGCTAGTAGATGGAAGTGTTATTACCAGGTGTAGGTGGAAAGAAGATCGCAGAGCAGGTATTAGATAAGTTAAATAGTAAACGTCACGTCAAAAATAGAAACGAACTTAACTGTGTTCAGGAATAACAACAAAAATAAACAAGTCTGCTATCTTATCGTGCTGTTTCGGATATTGCTCTTTTGATATTGGGTTTAACAATGTAAAAGCAACGTGGTTATGACGAATACTATTATATATTATACTTATTTTAAGCACGAATCCGAATAATGCATATCGTATAGTGTTGGATTCGATTAGCAACATAATACTGTATGTAGTTTTATTAGCTAATTGCCACTAACTGAATGTGTTGAATGACTAAACAAGTCTTGTACAGATTCTAGATTTTGTTGACTGTTTATTTTCTTCAAAGTTCTTGTCAAGGATACGAGTTTCTTAAGGTCAATGACGCGGCGGTTTTGTTGATAGACTGTTGCCGAACTTTTTATTCCTCCAAGTGAGGCAGTGGCAACTGGGCTGGCTAAACGTGCTTTTCGAGGCACGAAAGGAATGGGAAAACACAATAGTCTCACTAAATTATAGACAAGGGTAATGCCTACGTATATGATCAGGTTAGGAATAAAACATAACTCCTGGGTAGCCTATGTTTCAACCTCATCTAACCACGCGGGCAGGGGCACTAAGGGGGTCAAGAGTCACGCCGTAGGGCACTAAACGATCTACGGTTACCCAAAGCTATTGCCCAAGGATGTGGGGTAGGACAATGCGGCGCTAAGGTAGGAGTAGACCAGAGACGGTGAAACGAGGTGTTCGTTGCGCGTAGTGTACCTAATTAAGGGATCCGGCGTCCCATTGTCTAAACTGTTCTTGTTTAGACAAGCATTAAAGTCTTTAGGGGGTTCCGAGAGGTCCTTTTAACCTGCAGCTACACCTGTAACGCAACACACACACACACAACCAAAATCAAGTACATGTTCAGTAAAATCAGTGGGCTCTTCAAACCCAAAGCTCAGAAAAATCAGGGTTCCTTATACAAACTGATGACAAAATAAACTGGAATGTACGGCAGAGAGACAAGACAAGGTGGATGAAGCTTGCTCTAATGTATTCATTCCTCACCTTGTTTATTTTAGTTACACCACACATTTATCATATCTTTTGTATTTCAGCTACATGCAGGCTCTCGGAATGATCTCGCAGGATGGTTGTTATATTTATTTAATAAAAAAGACTTGGATGTAGTGCTTAAGTGGTATGTGCAATAAAATAAAATGAAGATATGAAGTGTAATACTGTCTTTCATGCTGTCTATACATTAAAGACTACCAATTTTTGAGAAAAAAAAATAGAAGGTGGTTAGCCATAATTATCTTGCCCTTTTTAAAAAATTAAACTAACTAAAGACATCAAACTTAAAACTAAATTTAAGTGATGAAATTAAAGTTTAGGCTTTACTATAATTAAGTTACTTTTATAACTGAAAACTAAAAATTTAAGACAAATTATAATTATATTCCACACAAATTATTAATTTCATTATCATATCACTTTTTTGCCTAATTAAATTGTAACAATTTTATTATTCTTACTTATGGTTAATTAAGAATTATTATTAAGAATTATATTGTTACAATTTAATTAGTCATAAAAGTGAGTGTAGAATCTTATGTTTCAGTCTTACTGAATTACAATATTATATCTTCATCAACAAAATACATTTAATAATTTATCTTTAAATATGCAACTGATTTTAGAAACTGCGATATTTCTTTTGAAAATTACCTAGTCATTGGACATTTAATAAAATTATTTTTCTTCCTAATGCAAAAATCTAAAAAAAAATATTTACAATATATGATAAGAATAACTTTATTTTTACAGCCCTTTACTTATTAGGAGCTAATAAATAATCACTTCAACCCATTTCACATATTGTTTTTTAAATAGTAACAAGAATATCCAAATGTATTTTAGAGATAAAACATTGTCACTGCCGCGACATATTTTGACGCATTGCGCCAACATATTCGTATTTACAATATACTCTATATTTCAAGCTTGAGATTACATTGCTAGATACTATTTCCATTTAAAAATGAATATAAAAACATAGTCAGAATCATAACATAGTTTTATTGCATCGGAATAGATAAAGGCGGCAAACTCATCTATTTTCAAATATTATATGAAACAGTAAGAAATAAGAGTACTTACTTCATCCTGGTTGTTATTCTCGGTGTTAGGAGCAATTTTCGACATTTTATATTCTGTATTCTATTTTTATAATTTAATCAGCTTTGCAACATACACGGCAGGGCGATCGATGATTTTACTTTGACAGTTTAACACACCGACAGAACATTTTTATGAACTTTTATGACACTGACATCATGACCAGCTGACTGACAGTTCAGTCTGATAGTGCGTTTAGATGTGTCCATTGCCTCGTACTATTGCGACAACAGTAATCTTTGCGTAATTATTTGTTTCATCCAAATTATTTTGTCTAGCATAATCAGATTAATTAAAATTTATTTGCTTATCCTATAATAAAGATAAAACCATCTGGTAGTATTTTACTTAGGTTGGGTTCATGTTTCTTGAAAGAAATTATCTTTTAATCATTAATTTTTATCATCAAAATCAGATGTTACAGAAATTGTTTCGAGGATAGTTATAGCCATTTACACGCTTGCCAAGCCTCGACAAGTGCCACAAACAAAGATTGGGACTAGTGTCGGTAGATCTCCAATATCGGTTTTTAAACACAGAGCAAAGCTTGAAGCTCGCGGCAAGCGTTTGCAATGTTATTAGTTGGTACTCTGTTCCCTACTGCTCAGTTTGATATTAGTAGAACAGTCGGGAATCAACATCAATATTAATTTTTATATGGTTTAGTGATAGATAGATAGAGATAATTATCTCAGTCTATCTACACTATATTAGTAATTTATTTTATTTTTTAAGCTACCAATATATTAAAATTTTATATTTTTACCGAGTTATTAAAATATTGGTTTTCCTTAAATATCGAGCATGAAATACTAGATCTTCAATCTTTTATAATTTTTTTCCTAAACCACCTAAAAATATTGATTAATACAAGTTTTTATTCACAATCAAAGTGCTGTCAAATCTGACAGTTCAATATTTTTCTTCGGTTGTGTTGATTATTACCATTGATTACTTTCTAAACAAATAAAATTACTCTCCACAAAATTATTCTGTAATTAAGGGAGAAACAAACTTTAAATTGTTTTTATATAGGCGATAGTTAATTATGGGTTTCAAACAACTAAACAATTTGTATCAGTTTTGATTATGTCGGCGCGAAATTATTTGTCGGCGCGAGAGAAAAATATTAATAAAGTGATTGATTGTCTGCCTAATATTAATCAGCAGAAGTTTAATTATCGGTCCGGATCGGAGTTACCTCCTTTATCAGCAAATACTAACCATTTTGTTAATCGAAATTTGAATTATTCCTACGAAGTTCAGCCGTACTTAGTAAATAATCTGGACAGAGCCGGGACTCCGTTTTCGGATTTTCTTTCCGATAGTGAAACAGGTAATCAAATAAAAATAATAAGGTGGTGAAAATACTATATAAAGAAAATAGGGTAGCAAACCTTTTAGTCAAATCACAGCACATTCTATTTATATACCTACATTATCATGCCATATAAGTCACTACATACACAGATGCTTGTTGCTTACCTTCTTTATAAAACGTCATTCTAACTTTCTGAATCCATACTTACAATATATGCTTTCACACCTAAAACCAATGGAAAGATACATATTCAGCGAGTTGTAGTGTATGTTATAAGACATAGTTAGTATTCAATAATATATAATGATGTTCCTAGTAATAAACTTCACTTATTATTCAGCAGTCAGACGTTTCATTCCTCTCCCCAACGCATACCCTTATATAGCGACCCTGCCAGGATAAGTAACTGCCCTAACATAAGTTACTTTTTACCATGATAACTGATATACAGGCGGGCGGAGCCAAGGGCATAAGCTACTTGTTACTCTTACATTTTAAATGTGGTTCATTCTCTCTCTCATCTTTATAGTCTCTTAGTGGTCTTAATAGTTTGTTTAGTAGTGATTCCAAATGAATGTGTAGTTTAATATCTAGACAAATATAATATATTCTTTTACGGTATATACAGTGTTTTAAAACTCATTACATGCAGAAATTAATTTCGAATATTGAAGAAGGCCCTAGATGTTTTTCTTCCTGTTCTTGAGCATTTTTCTAAAAAGGTTATGGAAGAAAAAATATAACATTCCAGTTTAATAATGAGTGCTTTTCATGCACCGGCCATAAAAGAAAAAACAGGTTTTCATCGAATAATCCTATGCAAATTACACCATTACACTGTACTGCTCCAACAGCTTAAACACTTCATATATGAATCCATGTTTAAAGAACCTGACCAGAACTTCATCATCTGCCTACCCTTATTCTAATTTTATTTGGTGTTGGCTCAGTAAATATGATTCTTCCATTCTACTCTATCAATCATCATCTTACTATTTACTTCCTGCCTAGCCATATCCTTTCTCACACAGTCCATCCAACATTTCTTTGGCCTTGCTCTTCTCGTGTACCCTTCAATTCTCATACCAGACCAGGAAACTCAAACAAAGCAATTTCTTTTTATGGTGTAGGGTTCAAACGAGCCAATGAATCACCTGATGATAGATAAGTGAGTACACTGGCCATGGCCACCTGCAACTAAAGAATCATAAGTTGCCAGTTGCCAGGCGACTTTTTTATTCAGCTTGTGTACTTTTATCATTCGCATAAGCATGATAGTAAAATGCCTAATGAATGAACCGTAACCTCACTCTGTAAAAAACAGTGAAAAACACATTCTCATAAGCACACCTACAGTTAAAAAAAGGTTTTGATCTCGGGAGTAACATTATTAATGTAGTACTATGTTAAACAAAAAATATTTTTATGTTACAATTGTTTCATTTGTTAAAGGTACTCCAGATTTTCGTAGTGAGGAAAGTGACAGTAGTTCTGGATCAGCCTTGCACAGGAGCACAGCAGAAGCTACAAAAACTTTAGCGGAAGAGTGGGAGAGGATTGAAAGGACTTTATACAATGAGGAGGGTGAGAAATCTGTGCGTTCAAACATTATTGAAGAATGCAAGCAGTGGAGGCAGTTGCATCCACAGCTTAGGTAAGAATTTTTTTAATTTGTTTTAATACTGGATTAGATATGGTAAAAATAATTAGTCCCATGTTGAGAAAATTTTTGAACTGAGAATATTTAGTACTAGCTGACTTGTGCAACTTGTCTGTGTTTTTCTAAAGTAATAAATTTTCCCTATTCTTTCAAAATCTTTTATTAGTTGTAAGTTGATGTGATATAGCCTACAGTATTCCTCAATAAATAGGCTATCCAACACAAAAATATTTTTTTTATTGAAACCAGTAGTTCCTAAGATTGGCGCATTCAATCAAACACATAATATAACAACCAAATAAAAGATAATGATATGGTCTTAAAAGAACATTTTATGGAAACATAATTATCATGAAAACATATCATTGTCATTCATCGTGATATCTTAAAGAAGATGTTTAAAAACAAGTATGAAAATTAATTTACCTATGTGTAGTAGTATTATAAGAAAGCGTCACACAATAGAGACGTCCTGCTTTCCATATACCGATTCTCTACCTTAAATCAGCAAAATGAAATGCAATTGTGCCGATCCATAAATGGTAAATCTTGAAAACTTCCTAAAACGACGTATATCACGCTAGCAGCTCACATCTAATCAGGCTAGAATTTTGTAGATAAATTAAAAAATAATAATTGTAGAGCCTAATAAATAATTTTGTAAAAATAATAATTTTGTAGAGCCTAAAAATAATTTTGTTAGCAGATCACGTGATTTTTGGAGATCGGTAGGCCCTTTACTACAATTTATCTACAAAATACTAACCTGATTTAGATGTGGGGGTTGAGTATGTGATCTGCTAGCGTGATATACGCCCTAAAATGCGTTGGTGTATAGTTTGGGAGAGGTAACAAATCCCTGTCTAACTCTATGCAGCAAGCTTATGAAATTAATCCTCTCGATTTATCGCCAGTCGAAACGACATCATTGCAGGGATTTTAGAATAGGTCGTAGTTCACAAAAGTCATAAACAGCCGCTAACTATACATAATAATAACTTGATACAAGCCGGTATAAACCCTAGTTAGGCAGAGCCTGTACTGTGGTAACCAGACTATTGATCAATATACTTATATATTTCTAAACTCTACTTATATATTTTTAAATTTATAGAAGTAGGTAAATTTCCACAAAGCGGCATGGAAAAGAAGCACTTAAGTTTGGCTTGCCAAAGATGTTGAGCCCATGGCTTGAGGAATTTTTGATATAAACAGATCTTGGTGATAAATTACACTTAGGCTCAGAATAAAGAATCGTGCTCCTTACACAATTATTTGTACGGGGTGAAAAAAACTATGCCCGACAGCGTCATACTTGTCAGTCTCTTGCATCTGCCAAATACAGGGTGGCGCAATAGAACGTGCATATTTAAAATATTGATTAGAAAATAAATACAAAAGGTATAGTTAAAATAAAACTGAGGTATTATTAAGAAATAACTGAAGTTTATTTTTTAAAAATAACATCGTCTAAATGATGACCCTCTCTACGACGACACTCCTCTAATCGCAAACGGAAGTTATTGAAAACTTTCTTCAGTAATGCTGGTGTAATTGCTGCCATTTCACCACGGATATTCTCCTTGAGCTGATCGTTGTTTTTCGGATTATTACTGTAGACTTTGTTCTTGAGGTATCCCCACAAAAAAAAGTCAGGAGGCGTCACGTCTGGACTACGTGGGGGCCATGGGATATCACCTCTTTTCGAAATCAGTCTGCCAGGGAACATCTGTTTCACAACCGCCATGGAGTCATTTGATGTGTGACAGGTAGCTCCGTCTTGTTGAAACCAAGTCCTAGAATTCACTATTCTTGAATTTTCAAGCTCTGGAGCCAAAAAACCTTCCAACATCGCAACATAGCGTTCGGTATTAACAGTGACGTTTTGCCCCCGCGCATTTTCAAAGAAAAACGGTCCAATTATTCCTCTACCAGAGATTGCTGCCCATACTGTCACTTTAGGACTATGCAGTGGTTTCTGGTGCTTGAGTTTGGGATTCTCACTGTTCCAGTAACGACAATTTTGACGGTTTACGAACCCATTGATATGGAAGTGGGCCTCATCTGAGAAAAGGATATTGTCAAAATTGGAAAATCGATTAAGCATTTCATTAGCAAATGCGAGCCTTGCTCCGAAGTCAGACTTGTTCAATTCTTGTGTTAACTGCAGCTTGTAAGGATGCAGTTTAAGATCCAAGTTTAAAATTCGTTGCAAACTTCGTCGCGATAAGTGTAAGACAGACGATCTCTTACGAGTAGACATTTGTGGATCTCCTCGTACAGACTGCATAACTCTCTCAATATTGTCGTCGGTCCTAGATGTTCTTGGACAACCTTTTGCTTGTGGTTTAAACGTTGAACCAGTCTCTTCAAAACGCTGTACCCATATTTTAATTAAATTAGCACTCGGAGCTTTACTAATTTGCCGTAGTCCATATTCAGAACAATATAAACGCCTAGTAACGATGTATGAACGAGAGTTCTCGTAAAATGCGCGCACGCAAAATGCGCGACGCTTCCCGTCGAAGTGACTCATAGTGACTAAAACTCCATGAGCCCGCCTACCCAACGATGCAGGCTCCCCCCGCCCGCGCACTTTCTACCCCGCGAAAAAAGATGATGCAATATGCACGTTCTATTGCGCCACCCTGTAGTATGCGTATGATCTAAGGTGTGGTACCCTTTTCAAAATTAGGCTTGTTCTGATGACTGGAATTCGTCGAGTCTCGACTTTGACATAGTTCAGGGAGCGTATGCAGTTCTTCATAAGGGAGTTAGTGTGCTGTTTTTTCATTTATTTGTTTTTACCTGTCTGGATGTCTAAGGCGTTCTCTTCAATTTCAACCTTAGCTGCTCCAGAGAAAAGAAGGAGTATTTTATACATATATCTACTTAATACGAGATACAAGATGTTTTTAAAAGAGGATCAATTATGATACTTATTTCACATTTCTCCGCATCATACTCTTATGTATCCTTTAGGTATAGAAGATAATAAAAATGATTTAGTACTCTATACTCTAATAAGAATGTTCCGTAATATTGATTTATCACAAATATTGTTGCATAAAAGTTCCACTCGAGCAATAATGATTTGTCTCGCATACTCTGAGAGAGTGATGATGATGATAATTTCGATTCCTCATCTCGCCTATTGTCTAATATTTGAATAGTAAAAGACAGTAGGATTGAAGATGAATTATACCATGAAATAGAATTTGTATATACGTAAAGCATATTATTATGTTGTTACATACACATGCATTGCAAACAAAATGGGTTAAGTCCTCAACATTTGACATAATTGCTAGTAAAAGTTTTGGTCTACATATTATTTATTCTTTTCATAACATTTTGAAGTTGGTACGTCGAATATTTGATAAATGAATATTTTACAACAATGGACTCATTGCTCGTTGAGTGGCCTAAAAGTTCAGAAATGAGGTTAAGATGTCGGCATTTATGTTAATTAAGAAAACAAAACCTTCACCCACATTCGTCTTATAAAGTACGATAATAAAGTAGTATATATTTTGGTTTGGACTAATAATAATTGCAGTCCTCATTCAACCTTGGGCTCAGACGGACGGTATACTGAATAAATAACTGCTAAAAGAAGTTTGTCATGGAGAACATCAAGTCATTTTATCACAGAGAGTCAGTTCTCTCAGAAACAGTCATGTAATTATTACATTGTATCTATTATTATTCATGGTTAAAAGAAGTTCTTTAACCAATAACACGTCACGAATACTAAGAAATGTTTGCCCTTGAAGTCGTATAATTAGATATAAATTATTGATTTTCAGAGTCGTCGGCAAAGCTTTACAATTGCCGGACAAACGTTTGTCATGTAGACAGATTGAACACGATGAGGTGGTTGCGATGCATTACAGCGATTATGAAGAATTCAGCGAGATTGAAGAGCGGTTGTCACAAAGCAGCACTGACGTTACACCGCAAAATTCGCCGAGAACGTCCGTCGAGGATTTGGGTGAACACAAATTGGCCAGAGAAAAGTTATCCCTATACCCTACATACAACGATGAATATGATTTACCAGGTTCCTTTTGCTCCCTGTTGCAAATTACACCAATCCACATTCGCAGTCCGTCTCACAAGAAGAAACAAAACCCGTCTATTCTGAGATCGGAACTAGCGTCCTCGCGATGGATGAGAAACCAAAGACCGGATTCTTCTATAAATTGTGATAGAAATAGTGCTAAATCTTTCGTTTCTTTAGATACTAAGAATTACGGGCATATTGCTTTAAGTGCTTCTGACCGGAATGCTATGCTAAACAACAGGGTTGGCACTGCAAGGCATAGGGATTTGGCTCGGTTAGAACCTCTTTGCACACCGGACATGGGGAACAACGAACTAACGAGAATATCTAATGGTATTTCTCCTAATTATAACATTAGAAAGGTTTCCTTGCCGCCTTTGCTCTTAGAAGAGGAGAAAAATAAAGTTACTGTTGGATCGGCCAAAAAACATAATATGAGACCTAGGAAGAAGGTTACGAAGAGCTTTATCCAGTTTGACAGAATCCATTTCAATTAATAGCTGGATCAATAAGAGCGTTTTGCGATGTCTAATTTTTGATGTAATTTTTATACTAACAATCTGTATTAGAACGTTGTAATAATATCTAACAGTACATGCTTATGAATTCCTTTTTTTGCATGGAATAATTCTGGTTTGGTAAAAACTTTAAGTATGACGTAGGGCACTATATAAATTTTGAGCCACGTAAAAAGTAAACAATATAAACTTACAATTTATATTATATTTTTGCAAGATGCCACTCGATGAAAACAAAACTGACCACCATTTTTTTGCCAATGTTCCGCGGTCTTTGTAATTTTGTTGGCAACTGGCCACCTGGAAACACCCATACCCAGAAACGCCTACTGGTTTTCGGATCATATTGATATATCCATGTTTCGTCGCCAGTAATGATTTCAGAAACACATCGATCTCCCATGTTTAGAACGTAGACTCATCTCACGGCACCATTCCACATGCTTCTTTTTCCGTTTCGGAGAGCAACCGAGGTATCCAACGACAACATGTTCATGTTATATTATGTGAACACTAACCGAACTGATGCCTAAGATTTTCCCTATGTCCCTGTATGTAATTCGTGGGTAATCTCGCACAAGCATTTCAGTACTCTATACATTTACAGCAGTGACTGCTGTTGGCGGGCGTCCACTTCTGTCATCATCTTCAAGGCTACTTTCCCCTTTTTAATTCGTTCAACAATCTAAAAATTGTTGCCTGAGAAGGAACAGACACCTAAAGCTGATTTTAATGTTCTAAGCTAAGTCAGATAAATCACATTTAAGGTCTTAATATATCATAGCACGCAAATGTTCACGTTCAAGATACATTATAGCTGAAGAAAAAGCGGGAAATGATGACAGTAAAAATTTCAATTTTTTTATTGCTGTAAATGGCCCTTTGTGTTCGACTTTCAAATAAAGTTGCCTTTAAAAATATGTGACTAAGATGCGTTCGATTTTAAAGTTTCGAGCATCTCAAAACTTATATGGTGACCTACGTATTGTTGTTCGGTATGTTGTAGGATCAATTACGGCTCTATTTGCACAATTTTTTTATTGAATTCAACTTTAGAATATTATTTCATCTTTGTGATATGGATTGTATTTAATTTTAGAGAATTTAGAGTGTGAAATTCACTTACTTAAATTATATTTGTGTAAATATGTTGGTGCGTTACACCAGAGTGATAATAAATTGAAATTTCTGTGTCATTATAAAAATGTCATTAAAAAAATAAAAAAATATTTATTAAAAGAAAAAAAAACAGTTTTGAGCAGGCTTACCAAATTTCCTTCTTATGAGTTTTCTTTTAGTCTTCACAGAATGACTGAACTTTATTTAGTCGTCCGTTTAGGGAGGAAAAAGCTTATAAAAGCACGCGATTACATCAAGCTAATTAAAATTGTGTGCAGTTTGATCAAGTTTCATGCGATTTGAATTTTAGTTATTAAAATTAGTCACCAACTAATGTTGTATATAGACGATGTTCACTATTTTTGTATGATAATCTCACATAGGGGTAAGTAGGTGACATTAGATCTAATTCTTTCTAATCGTTAGAATTAATTATTATTTGATTTCGTTCCTAGTAGAGTGGATATATGATGCACTATTTTCAAATGTAAATGTGATGTTTTGTGATATTTTCTTTGATTTAAATACTGTCACATTATTAATATATTTTCTTTACAAAGTACGATCGTGTTTGATGTTTTATTACAATTATCCTATAAGGTAGTGTTCTGCAGTTCACTGGATTCTCAAGCGAATGGTTTATTAACAGTTGGTCAGATTTCCATTTCCATAGAGGCGCTCAGAGCAATTGAAGTTATTTTGAGTCTTAATGTTACATTGTAAGTTTCAACTCAATGTTTCATTAGAATAATATTGAATCCTTAATTCATTATTGTGCTAATATGAAGCTGACATATACCAGTATTACTTATTGTGCTATCGCTACTATAATTGGAATAATATAATAATAATAATATACTTGACGACCGAATGGCATAGTGGTTTGTGTAACGGACTGCTATTCCAAAGGTGGCGGTATCGATTCCCGCTCAAGTCAAACATTTGTGTGCATGAACATTTAATGTTTGATCTGGTCTGGGTGTTTCTATGTATAATAAGTATGTACATTTACAAAAAAAAAAGAAGTATATATGTATTTATATCAGTTATCTAGTACCCATAGTACAAGCTCTGCTTAGTTTGGGACTAGATGGCGTTGTGTGAATGTGGTAGAATATTATTATTATTATGTCATTTTATACCTTGCCTGGTCTCCCTTTTATTTTAAAGGGTTAACAAAATCTAACACACGGGCCTTAGCCAAGTGTAATAAAAAGGGATGATGATATGAAGTTAAGATGATGAGGATGAAGCGAGAAATTTGCGTGTGAGACGGCATGTATTAAGAAGGACTGCTTTTTGTAAGAGTATGAGAGAGGATTTCGGCATTTCCAATGTGTTAAGGCTATCTTGAAGAGTCTTCGGTACTACACCAGTTGTAGATATGACAATGGGTACTATTTTAACTCTTATCTATCTGTCATTACCAATTCCGCCATAAACTTTTTAAGTCTGTGTATTTTGTCATCTTTTCTGTGTGCGTCGTGAGGAGATTGTGTGTGTTACATACTGCTATGTCTATAATAAAATCTATTTGGTTATTATTAATGTTACCTGTTTTATGAGGATACTTATCTATTATAGTTTTTTCACTTTATTCAATTTATGTAGATAGTGTAAATGTTGATATTAAACTAAATTTTGTTGTGTCTTTTTTTAAACTTAGATTTATGAAAAGGATTTATTAAGTAAGTATATAAAAGTAGCTATATTTATGAGTCAGAGTGCAACCGACTGTGGATCACGAATGTAATTATATCTACCCTCTGTCAACATAAAAAAAATATATATATATACACGGTGATTTTGAAAGCGTTTTGGAAAAGAAAATTTTGAGTTATTTATCAGTAACAGAAGCTATATATAACGTTAATTTAATAAAATATTTTTTTTTTTATCATCAAAGTCGATATTCATATCGTTTACAGAGAAAAAGTCAGAACCAGTAGTAGTAGGCTATTCAATCACACGTAGGTAAATACTACGAATAGAAATACTATGCGTTTTAATATCGAGTCACATCAAATCGTATTCGCCAATAAAAACAAAGCTACCGAGTTGCGCCGGAGTCGTCCAACCAATGACGTCTGCCCCGTAGGCGCATGCGCGGGGCTCACCTGTCATCGTCAGTCGGTCAGTAATACCATAACATCGTGACGGCACGCTGTATTGATTAGCGCTAAAATGAGTCGATAGTACGAATTTTCAAACGTGGAATACTTCTTGGCAATGGTACAGCTGTACCAGGCCCCTGAAACTTCCATACATTTTTCGTCACAAAAAAATTACAGAGAAAGTTCTGCCATCTCCATAAACATGAACTCAAACGTAACTATTCATAGCTGCCGATAGGTGGAGCTTTTTGATTGGTTAAAATAAAATGAGAACTTTAAATTATTCAAGTACTTTCTTTAATATGCCTATTTTTAATTGTTATGAATTCTTAATTTATTTTTTTACCATGAAAAATATTTTTGTAAACATGCAAATAATTTCAATTTTTACCCATTTTTTTGAGTGAAAGGAAACGTAAATGACTAATGAATGACTGACAGATGTATGTTACTTTCAAAACTTTTCTGTTTCTAGTTTCGTGGTTTTTTGAATATATTTTTTGTGCTGTTTTAAACTTTGACCCTGCTTCTCCCTTGGACCCTGTGATAAGATACGTAAACTATTGACCCTACGCTGTGAATATTGGATACTTGCTTGCTTTTGCGATTTAGATTCGACGACATTTTGAAATGCCGAGAAAATCAGCTTTAAAGTGTTATTTTGGATGTTTTCCTTATAAAGGTAGGGTTTAGACAGTTTTTATAAATCAAAGTCCGCTTTTTTATTCGTAACTATGCTTTAAGGAACTTTGTACAATTAATAAAGTAAAAAGAAAAATAAGTTGATCATATGAGAGTTTTTAGAGCGATTGACTGATTTTGAAAAAGCATTTTCTTTATGACTAGAATAATAGCTGGAACTTTAAATCTACTGTCTTTCAGGAAAACTCCATAACTTTCCACCTGAGGAATACCCATATTCGGAAAAATTTGATCAGTGGAAAAGAAAAAAAAAGGAACATTTGATTAGCTAGTAAGCTGGTTTGTAACAATTTTAATATTTTTGTTTTAAAAGCAGAGTGTTAAGTTAATATATGTTATATGTAGGTAGATAATTAACACTATATTTTATACGAGATTATTACTGTGTGAATTGTGATCAGAAAATGATTGCAAATTACGAGTAAATAAATATTTATTTATTGTTTTTAATGTTTTATTTGACTACACATCTTTCCCCACCCGTCAATCTTCAAATAGAAAATACATTAGCTCCATCTAGCGGGCAAGCTATGAGAAACACAGCGCCATCTCTGCGTTAGCGTACACTCGTTTTAATAAATTTGAAACCTCAGTGGCGCATCTATCTTAGATTTATAGTGTTTTGTCTATGAGCTGTACGCTACTGCCAACTACAACTTGGAAGAGGCTCGGCGTTTGTATTCCCAAGCCGGAGCATTTAAATGCACTACGGCTACGTGGAATTGAAAGCCCTCAAATTCCCTCCACACCTACCATCTTGGCTGCAACCCAACGTCTTCTCGACCACGGACAATTTCGTGCGCCTACTCATGCGCAAGGTCAAGGACGTTTTAATTATTATTCGCCGGAGTGTAGTGCGTGCATACCTGGACAATGAGCTTAGTGATCGGACTTAACGCCCCTGGATTTTTTCTTATGGTCGGAAATAAAAAGACTTGTTAATACACGGGAATATGAAAGCCGTGATAATTTACGCATTGCGATAGTGGACGCTTTAAAGTGAAAAGTGATAGAGACACATTAAGAAAATTAAAAAACAATTGC